GGGGGGGGGGGCGGCGGGGGGGGCGGAGACGCAGGCAGAGGCCGCGGGGGGGGAGGTGCGACGGGCGGCGGCGGTGACGGCGGTAAAACAGAAGGAAACGTCGGAAGGATTCGCGTGCAGGGTCGCGTGCGCATGCGCGTGGCACTGCATATACGCGTGTGATTCCAACCGCGTTTTACGAAGAGCCATCGTCGCAGCAGCAAACGTTCTTCTCTAAGCGCAAACATGGCGGCCATCACAGATAATCGGTTACGGGGAAAACGCGGACCGATCTCCATATTGAGATTAATGTTTCGCACGTATTTTGTCTCTCTCACACACTCTCACGTTCTGTGTGTATAGGCCTACACGGCTTTGAATTTATAAGAACAGCTCTGAGAATTGCAGAGAAAGAATGTTTAGTGAGATAGTAGTTAGTTCAAACCGGGAAACGTTTCACAGCTTTCAAACCTAAAACAGTATCGGTTATATGTATGTATATATATACATATATAAACACACACACGCATATATATATATACATGTAATAAAAGAGCGAAGTTTCAACGAGGGTAAATTATTACACCACGCGCGTATTCCGCTTACGCGTTAGACAAACAACGCACTGCCATATGTAGAAAAACACACACACACACACACCCCGGTCGTATACTGAAGTGTAAACATTTTACCGCCTTCCCGCGATAGAGCGTCAGAACTCGACAGAGTAGTAACATTTGTTTTTTCTGGGGCGCGGATGCCAGCGATCAAGATGGCGGCGACGTCACGTGTCAGCTATTAAAACCAGCCCGCGGCGGCGGTGGTGGCGGCGAAGCAGTGACGGCATTCCGCGGCAGACGCTCGTTAATGAGTTCTACATACGGCAATTACTGCGAGGACACACCTTAAAAACGACCGCCAGGGGTCGATCGGTATCTTCTCACATGCCAGTATTCTTTGTACGTCTCTCTCTCTCTCTCGCTCTCTCTCTCTCTCTCTCTCTCTCTCTCTCTCTCTCTCTCTCT